ATTTCACGCTGTTAGTGCTAATTCGCATTTTGGGGTTTTCCTGATGGAGTCGAGGAACCCTCGGAGACCGTATCGGGTGGACCGTCGCGCACTCCGACCTCCACGGACACGTCCGCTACCGCACCCAACATATCCCCCACACCGAGCCCCTCGTCAATGAATACCGCATCGCGACCGAGGCGTTCGACGTCTGGAAGACGGTCGACCACTTCGTACAACGCGCTGGAGCCCCTGCCAGCCAGAAGGCCGTCGCCAAGGAGGCCTCGCTGACCCTTCGGGCCCTCATCGCGCGAGCCGCCGACGTCGCACTCGACCAGCTCACCAGCATCGAGGTCGCGGCCGCCCTCGACGACTTACTCCCCACCAACCAGCAGCACCTTCGGAAATATCCCGTCCGACATCGTCGAATGGGGATCCCCCAGCGAGCCCGCTCCCGAAGAACGAGTCTGCAACCAGGCCGCCTGGAACGCCCTCACTCCGGTGAACACAGGCACCACGGACGACCTCCCACCTCTCCAACCGATACTCGACCTCCCTGCCGCCGTGACGCGTGCCCAAGACACCTCCACCCCACTGCCTCCTCCCTACTCTCAAAATGACAATTCCGACAAAGAGAACGAACCCTGTTACGTCTGAGGGCTTTATTCCACATCAGTAACCCTGTCGCACTTCTAAACCTTCTAAAACATTTGCCTGGGAGGATAAAAGTCGTTAGAGATTGAGACACATTTTAGAAGATTTCAAAGTTGTAAATTCTTAGAGACACTTAGAAAAGGGCAGCATTATGTCCATAATATGTTCATACAATGCTTTCAGTCAGTCACACAATCATAAAGGGGAAGGAAAAAAGTATATTCATTCTGCTACAAGGTACAGGCTATGGACTACAAACAACGGCAGACACTGCATACGTCCTCTATGAAGTGGACGATATGGGCGACATGCGAGACGTTAGAGGCATGGGCCCGACACGGGGAATGAGGCCTGACGTGCGCGACGTAGGCAAAATGGGCGAGAGGCGACGCGGTAGATCCAGAGAAGCGGGCGAGACATGCGAGGTGGGCAAGGCACCGGGCGATGCGGGTGAGGCAGGCTCGGTGGGTGACACGGAGAAGACAGGCCAGGTGGTGGCGCAGGTGGTACGGGCTGGTTCGCAATGTGGACGATGTGAACGAGGTGGGTGACGTAGGAGAGGGTGACGCGGGAGAGGGTGATGCGAGAGAGGGCGAGGCGGACGAGAGCGAGACGGGCAAGGGGCAGGATGGGCAGGCGGTACTGAAGGCATTGCACGGGGATGTGGTGGGCGCAGGAGAAGTGGGCGCGACCCGGTCGAGGTGGTCGAGGCCGAGGTAAGCGACACATGCAACACGGCGACAGAGGCAAGATCGACGTGGGCGAGTGGACGACGTGGACGCCGCGGGTGAGGTAGGTGGGGTGGGCGACGGTTCTTCTACCGTGAAAGTAGACAGGCGTGTGAGCGACTTCAAGCCGTGAGAGGGTCAATTCATGCACGGGGACCGCTCACCTGAACGAACACGGTATAACAGAGACACCGGAGCTTCGGCGAATGTCCTTCATATACGCGCGGTGCTTTCCAGAGCATCTGCATGTGGATGCCACCTATGATCTAACCTGTGAGAGTGCGGGAAAGGGTCAGCGTCACCGTGGGGTGCGCAATGACGGCAGCGGAGGCAAAGGTGGCGGTAGGACTCACCGAGCTTCGTCTTGACGAGCTGGCGCAGCTGCACATGAGCAGCCGATCTTTGTGCATTGATCCTTGCATGATGGCTGGAGAGGTAAGTGGAGAGGAGGAAAACGCGGGGTAGCAGACGAGCAGGTGGCGAAGCTCAGAGCGGGCAGGCGAGGTGACGCAGGAATCGCGGGTGTCGCGGGCGATGCGGGCGACGTGGGTGTGACGCGGGCGACGTGAGGGAGGTGGGCGAAGTGACGACGTGGGCAACACACGCATCGCGGGCACGATGAGTGTGACACAGGCAAGGTGGCGACACGGGCACAGGCAAGGTAGAGTTAGTGGAGGAAAAACGATGTGCAGGGAAAGGTAGAGAACTCACCTTGCGTGAGAGCCAGTGCCGGGGAGCAGGGAACCGGCGGGTGGGCGTAATGGCAAAGTATTCACAGGGGCGCTCAGTAAAAAGCAAGAAACCTGTGGAGTCAACGAAGTTCGACCGTGAGGTTAGACAAGCGCGTGAGCAACTGCATGGCGAGATGAGATCGACGCGCGCGAGGGGGCTGCTCACCTGGACGCGCGCGCGGGTGATGGAGGCACTGGGGCTTGGGCCGACGCGCGCGCAGGTGTGATGAAGCCCGTGGTGTACGTGCGGCGCATCTGCACGTGGATGTTGCACTTGCCTGGGAGAACGCGAGGCAGCGTCAGCGTCAGTTCGGGGCACCCGATAGCGGAGACAGAGCTGCAGTACTCACAGATCGTCGGCGGAGCGAGCTAACGGGCGAGGGCAAGACGGGCGAGAGAGGTGGGCGAGGTGGGTGAGGCAGATGAGACGAGCGGGGGCAAGACGGGGCAAGACGGGGAGATCCAGCGTGATGCGAGCGAGGTGGGCAAGACGGGCGAGACGGACAAGGCGGAGGTGAGAGGAGAGATAAGTGCGAGGTGCGGGGTGCAGACGAGACGGGTGAAGTAGGCGACGCGGATGACGCGGATTGACACGGGCAATGTGCCGGGGAGGGCGAGAGCAGAATGAACGAGTGCGAGACGGGCGAGTGCGAGGCAGGCAAGGTGTGCAAGGGTGAGACGGGCAAGGGGAGGCTAGAGGACGACGAGGACGACGAGAGTGCTGGCAGTGCCAAGCGCTGGAGTCCACGGAACGCGCGTCGATTCCCACGCGTCTAGAGCTGCCAGCACCTGCCAGCGTGTCTTTCTCTTCGTCCACTCTCCGCTGGCACCCCGTCATCCTCGTCCTTCCCGTCCTCCCCATCCTCCCCGTCTTTTCCTCCTGGCGCAACATCCTCAATGAGCACGCGAACGCGCTCCTCGCCCGCCGGTTCCTCGAAGGGTTGTTGCGGCCCCCTTGGTTTTGGTGAGTCTCCAACCTGCTCTCCTGCGCTCCCCGCCTCGCCCACCGTCTCCCAGACTCCGGCCGCGCCACCAACCCCGTCCCCACAACAAGTACGTCCCAACGGATGTGCACGGGACGCTCGTCCCACCAGCGCGGCCGTGTTATGCGGCTGTTGCCACTTCGCCTGCCTGCCGCTCCACTTCACACGTGGTCGTGACTGTAGCTGGATCGTTGCCCACAACGGCCCCGGCTCCTTCGCTGGCCCGCGTCGCCCACCTCGTCCACGTCGCGTACGTCGCCCGCCTCTCCCGTCTTGCGCCAGCGTCAACCTCACCCACTTTCCCCACCTGTGTCGCTAACCTGTCGCCCAGCCTATGCCATTTCCTTCGCCCTCGGTGGCAAGCGCACCGAATTTGCCGCGTTCTCTCCGACTTCGGCATCCTTCTCTGCGACACAGCACACTCCCGCGCAGGCCCCGCGGCGCATGCAGGGTCTCTCACTCGACATCCCGCAGCCAGTGGCTCACTCGTGTAAGATGTCCGCATCTCGTCTCTCAGGACCTCTCCCGTTGACGGCGCAAGCTCGCAGGCATGGGCCGCTGCGGTACGCCCGGAGGATTACCCGTGGACACTGGTCTCTGCATACTGAATGGACGACCAGCGCGCGCCCGCAGTGCCCCAGGTAAGCTGTATTAGTTGGCCTCAGGATCTTGGATGAGCTGACATGAGGTGCTCCATTCCCTCGCTGGCTCGCCTATGCAGTCGCAAAAGAAGCGGTGTACGCGCAAGGCGAGGCCCCGGTATCACCAGCCGCCACCTCCCACCGCGCCGCTGTACCGCTACCCACCCCAGATGCCCTTCGTCGTGCAATCAACCTCAGCGAGCCCTTGCGACCGTGTCGCCCACATCGCCTACCCACATCACCCGCCCACGTCCGCGTCGTCCCCACGCCAACGTTCGCGTCTCCCGCACCCACCTCGCCCGCACCACCCCACCCAACTGTATCGCCCTTTTCGCCCACGCCCACGTTGTCTATGTCTGCGTCGCCCGCATCGTCCACCCGTGTCGCCCACATCGCCGGCCCGCGTCCGCGTGGTCCCCGCGCTAACGTCCACGTCGCCCGCACCCACGTGTCCGTCCCACCCAAACGTTCCGCCCACGTCGCCCGTGTCCATGTCATGCCCCCCGCCTGCTCACCAGCATTGCCACCTTGCCTGTGTCGCCCACGCCCGCATCTCCCGTGTCGCCCGCACAGCCCATGTCGGCCGACGGCGGCCGAGCTCGTTGTAGCAGACGAGTGTGTGACTGGAGACACACCTTTATCACTAGCGTAGTTAGATAATGGTAGTTCCCAAATATATTTCATCCCCCACATATCCATATTGTTGTGAATCATCAAACGGTCGTCTCCATGATGTTATCCCACCTTCAATGATCCACCTCTAGCACTTCTAAATGTTTTCGAACATTTGACGGCTTCTAAATGGCCATCTAAATCCTCCAACCATCTAAGCCTTTCAACTCTTCTAAACCTTCTAACTAAAATGTTTTAGAAGGGTTAGAAGTGCGACAGGGTTACTGATGTACCTGCACACGAGACACGTTATGCATTGTATGGTTCGGCAGGGATGTTGCTTTTTCTCCACTCAGCTGTGAGCTTAGTCAAGGTCGTAAGAGGCGCATTGCTGATAATTGTCCAATCCTTCTACGTAGATTCTTTCTCTATCGAGGTTATAAATGTGGGTCATCGTAACATCCGGCTATCCAGGGACCGTTCGGCTCAATATTTCCCAGTCGACTGCGTTCATAGATGAGCCGCAGTAGCAGTCTCAGTAGGTACTCCACGTCCCGGCTTCAAATTTCTCTGACAGCTTTGATCCATACATCTGAAGTTCGTCCTCATTCTGTTCGTCCTCTGTAAGTATTGCTACTGTGCCGGGCGATGTGGGTGAGAAATTGACGCGAAATGGTCGCGAAAAGCGATGGGGATACGTAAGTACTGCATGGATATTTATTCTCATTTCAGTTCTGCTGCTGATGCACGGCATTTTGCAGTAGGCACAGCGCTATCGTCAGTACTTATTACTAGGCGATATACTTTCACGCTGATTATTCGCGCCCCTTTATAGATTCTCAAACAATGGTACTGACATCTCCCTTGACTTTGCGGTACGCAATCCAGTGGCAAACGGAATCACAGAACCCCTTCTTTCTAACATACGCTCACAGTGGGTCAACACGGCCGGTGTTGGCGCATCAACCGTGGTCGACACGCTCATTGCCGTCACTCTGATGTATTCTCTTCACAAAACTCGCACTGGGATCAAGCAGTACGTGGCTATTCCGGCGCGACGTCAGAGATAACGCGACAATGTCTACTGTACCATTTCACTCAATTCGACGGCCCTTGTGACGTGTGACATCCAAAATACGGATTCGACATTCGACAACTCAGTTATCGATACTCTCGTCGTCTACATTATCAGCACAAACCTGTTGACCGAGTACGTACCAAAACTCCAAACAAGTGCATTTTCGTGGAACGATACTCACCCATATCCTGAAAGCATAACAAATATTCTCGGCTTCATATTTGTAAGTTGCTTCGGTATTGATTTTCCCGAGCACTCATTATACTCTGTCACCTCGTTTGTATCAGTCTCTTCTCATGCCCAACAACCTGATATACGTGGGTGTAAACATTGTTGGCACACGCTGTGAGCTCCACTCCACTCATATTGTGCTTCTGCAACGACGAGATGACATTCCATCCCCCATAGTGTACGCGAACTCTATGATGGCGGCGTACGTGTTCATCCTCTCGTCAGGGTTATATATTACTCATCAGTCTCTGTAGTCTCAATTCTTGCCAGTCGCTTGTCGAACGCTCCAAAGACGGCGCTTCACAGAGTTCTCCGGGATTTATTCCCATGTCCACGTTTGCAGAAGCCTCTCGGCGCGGGCAGTCAGATCCATTGATGGTGAGTGCGGCTCGCTCAAATATGCATTCAGTGTGTTCCTATCGACATGACGACGTTCTTGTATGTGCAGAATGCTCTCAGTCGCATCGACGTTCTGGTCACGAAGGAGCCATTTGGATCAGACGTCAAGACTCAAGACGGCAGTTTCGAGCCTTGACAGGAAACGCTTTGGAGCAGTGTTTTACCCCAGCAATAACTCTTACTAGGAGAGCGGCCTTGTTCAAGTTTCCTTCCCTACCTCTTATCTATAATGTTTCTACGCGAGTATCCACTCCGCATATGGTTGAATAGAGCGTCAGTCCGCCCCGGTTCGCCTGGGGCTTGTGTCAGAAACGCCGGGGCCTCAAGGTTCCAGTCTTGTAACGAATTTGCTGCTTCGTCTCTCGCTGGTTGCTCTCTGCCACATCCCATCCTACTAACTCTCTCTCGCACGATGACGAACTAAACTGCTACGGTGCTCATAAGTATTACAAGGAGGGCTACTCGCCGACCATCAAATTGAGGTCTCACTCCCGCGTCGACTGCCGTTTAAGTTCGAACATGCCGGGCTTTGAAGGACGGGCACACACGCGGCGCTGGCTGCTCGGGCGGCTTCCAGGCGACCCCCAACCGGTCCCCTTATGCATGCATGTGATGAACTCTGAGTAAGGCAGGGACCGACTGTAAGCACACG